CTGCTAGCTTGGCAAAATAAATGCATAAATAAAAAGTACTCTTGCCAACTACAGGCAATGGGGAAGTACTGTTTCCAACAAGCAAAGTCAATGGGGAAGCTAGCAGGGAAGGTCACAACTTGCTCCTGTAAGTCACACCCGCTCCTGCTGCTTTTTCTCCCAAGGAGTCTGGCTATGGAGTATGAAATCCAAGGCATCTTGTACTCCATAGCATGTGCTGGCTCCCACCCCCCCCCCCCCCACCTGCACTCCATAGCACATGTGTGCTTGCCTGGCTGTGCTTGTGCTGGGCTGCAGCTCCCCGCACCCAGCTGCACTTGCGCTGCAGCAGCTGTGTGCCCTCCCACACTCTGCAGCAGCCATAGCATGCACCTGCCCACTGTTCTGTTTGTGAGCTGCCCAGGACTTGTGACTTCCTGCCGGCTTTCCCATTGACTTTGCTTGTTGGAAACAGTACTTCCCCATTGCCTGTAGTTGGCAAGAGTACTTTTTATTTATGCATTTATTTTGCCAAGCTAGCAGAGATGGTATAATTCAGACCAAAATGTTTCTTAATATAGATGACTTCACTTTTGTAACTGTAATTTCAGGGGGAAACTCATCTTACTTTTCCTAAGGAGGCATCAATTGAGCAGCTGTGCAGAATTCGAAATCTGATTGCTGGGGAAAGAAATAGCCGATTACATGAATCAGATCAAATCAAATCAGGATCCTCTGGGAAGATAACAAATGCAGAGCCTACTGCACTTCAGTCAACACATACTGTTAACACCAGCTTAGACCCAACTACTCAGTCTGCTGTCATGGTAACCTCTTTTAAAGTCTGTTACACTGAGCAATTAATATTTGAAATTGGGAATGGAAATTAAAGACCTAAACCACAGTGTGAAATGGAAATGTAATTCATATGTTAATTCCTGGAAACATTACTTTCCATGCTTATGTAAATTTTATAAAGTTATATTACATAAGCATTTCGTCTTCAAGCATATTCCCAATGAATCACAATAGTGAACATGCCTTACAGTATGAAAATAACATTTATAATGGATTTAAGGTCACTTTACATGATATTTTATTAAATACTTGCAAACCATACTAAAATTACTTCCATGCCTGCATATATAATCATGCTGATTATAGGATTATGTGATTATTTGGAGATTTATTTTGAAGGTGATTTGATCAAATCAGATTGATACTTTCAATCTGTGAATCAGCTGGAATTTCCAAATTGGGTGAAAGATCTAATCAGCTGTTCAGATTGGATCAGAGCCGATTCATACACTCCTAGATGAATGTACATGTATCAGTTTTGCTGGATGTACATATATTGGTGATACTTGTTGCGGTATATCTGCACATTCAATTTCTACCAGAGATTTCTTAAAGCAAGAATGTTTATTTATTGATTGATCAAATTTATATAGCTGCCCATCTCACGAATGTGACTCTGAGTTGTAGGAGTCAGTACTCCTACTGTGTGCCAGTGGATGTCTCTGGATCATATGTGCCCCTCCCTATGCTTTGTATGGAAGCATGTCACTATGCACACAGAAAAGATAATATGTCAGTTTGCCTTCTGGTAAATGAATGTTTCTGATTATTTCAGAAGTACAGATTATTCCAAAAGTACATTGGATCTAAAGGTTTGCCCATGCCAATGTTAAAGTGTGAGGTTTGTAGGGATCTAGGTCTGGGTTCCACTTCCTTTCCTACCTCATAAAATATCTTAGGACACTGTGTGGAAAACAGTTGATAAAGGAAAGGGGGGATGGGTCACTTCATTCTTCTTCCCAACTAAAGATACTGTAAAATTGCATTTCAGACTCTAAGTTACTAGGTTCAGTGTGGTGTCACAAACTGACCTACTATATTTCACAACGTCTTCTAAGATAAGTCCTGAGAAATGTCAGGAACCAGCAAGTGACTCACTGTCAGCTATGGAAGGGCCAGCCAATATTCCTTCAAAATTTCTGAGGGGCTTAGAGACTGAACAAAAGAACTTGCTATGAAAAAGGATATACATTTTGATGATCCCATATTTGGGGATGTTCTCAGACCTATAATTACTCAGCGACTGATTTGCAACAGACTGCAATTTTCCTAAAAGATTATTCCAAGGACTGTGCTGCTTCCATATGAATGTGCTATATGCCTTTATTTGTTAATCACCTTATAATTGCCTATGATTGACTAATTGTGCTAGAAACATGTTTATTAGCTTCTAATCTAGGTATATGCTGACAATAGTCTGTTTATTCTTTACTATAGTCTTCCGTGGAATCTGATGTTATTGGCATAAATGTAGAAATGTTTAATGGTTGCTGTTATTTCTATACCTTAGTCATGCCATGGTTAAAAAGAGTGTACCCAGCTATTTCACATTACATACTAGTTTTGAACTACGGGAGATACTTATGCTTGTACAGTTTGTCTGTATTTATTTTACTGAAGTTTGTGAAGAAGCCTCTCATACTAGCACAAACATCCTTTTTGAGACATTTCAAACAGCCTTTTTCAAACCGTTGTTCCCCAGATATATTTGGACCGTAACTTCCAGTAGCCCTGAACAGCATAGCTCTCTTGAAATCTGTGTTGTTAGAATCTGTCTCAAGGTCATCAGATTTAAGAAGACTTATTTAGAAGAATAAATTTATCAGAAATTCCTAGAAACTCTGTTTAGAACAACTGAAATGAGATTTTTTTCCTCATTTTAGACAACTGAATCAATTTTCTTGAAGACACTTCAGTCAAATTTTCTGCATGTAATGGCGTACGAAAACCCAGTTTTACAAAAGAAAGCGCTGGCTTATATTCCACTCCAAAAGCTGAAAAAGGAAGCTCAGGAAAAGCTAACACAAGCCCGAAAAATGGACAGAGGTAATATCTGAATACAGTTTGAAAATCTGACAGCATCAAACAGAATATTTCCATATAGATGCATTCATCTGTTAACATACAAAGCAGTCACAGGAGATGCATTTGGGAATAGCTTTAGAAATGGCAAAGCTATGTATTTTTCATATAGGTCTAAGAATTGTTGCTTTGCATTTATGTAGTCTGAAACAAAGATGGTCTAGAGGATGCTGCAGTTATTTCTACTACAGTTGTCGTGATTCTGTTAAAGGTGATCATCTTTGTCATTGATTCATATTTATCTAATAAACAAATATTTTTACTTCACTTAGAAACAATTCTGCTAAGTTATACTAGAAGTAGTTTATCGGGGGGTTTTATACCCAGTACCTTCAGATTAACTGCCTTAATGTTGCATCTCCAGGTAGGAAAAAACCAAACTTAAGCATGACTTGGTTTAAATTCTAAGTTGAGAACTTGAATGTAAATGTTGAAGGTCTATCACCTTATTGTTTCTATGTTGGTTATGGCAGTGGAAGTGTCCTAGTACTCATGTATGGCATGCTAGTATTCCTAGTTTCCTGGCTCTGGATTTATGAAGAATTTCTTTCAGTTCCTGAGACTTTTAAAACTACTAATTTTTTTTTTCAGCCTTTCAGTAAGGGCAGTAATGAACAAAGCAGGTGTGTCTTAGATTCAGAAACTCAATATCTCCCTAAAAATGTAATAATATTTTCTTATTACCTATTACCCCTGTACCATATTTGATATAAAATTACTATTTCTTGGTGCTCCTTCAGAAATTATTTTCCTTTTAATTCTGTGTACTTCCTGTAAATGGGTATTGTAATTTAATGTTTGGATTCCTGTTTTAATTCTAATTCCTTTTTTTAAATGTGTAGATACTATTCTGAGAGAAGAGGATATTCTACTGCTGGAGCTCCTCAACTGGTTTAAATGTAGTTTTTTCGAGTGGGTAAATAACCTTCGATGTAGTAAATGTGGGGGCCAGACAGAAACTAAAAATAATTTGTCACCTAATGACGATGATCTGAGATGGGATGCAAGCAGAGTTGAAAATCATTTCTGTAACCAGTGCCAGTTCAGCAATAGGTTTCCAAGGTGAGTTTAGTAAATAGATGTCTTTATCAGTTGGGTTTGTATTAGGCCTTATTAATTTAGTACATGCATTTCACTTGTATCTCAGTTTGCATAGACTGGAATTCCATGTATAATGCATGGACAAAAGAACCATTGGGTAGCACAATATTGTTGTGCTTTAAGTTTGCTATCAGATAGTGTAGAATACGTGGCTTGTCTACTTTCTGATTTCTTTTAAAATTATTGTTATATTGGTGAGCTGAGGACCATGGATATGTCTTAGGAAAATAGTCATTCAGATTCCATTGTTTCAAGATTTAATATGAAACCTGGACTTGAGCAGTAGTGCTATTAATAAATGAAAAATATTAAAGTATCAGTGCTAGTTTTGTAAGTTGTATTTTTAGCAGGAATCAGATAATAGGATTTTACAGGTCTGGAGTTATTCCGATAATAATTAATTACCTGCTTAAATATTTGAAATGGGAAGCGATGTTTCATTTAAGCCATAAAGTACTTTGTTTTTGGCTTCACATGATTCAAAAGAAATAGTGATAGGAGAGGAAAATAAGCAAGCTAAAGTACTGTGATAAGTGCCTGAAAGAACTCTTGGATATAATAGTCCAAAAGACAAATTTCAATAACGTAATATTTGACCTATAATTAATTTCTTAGCTGTTGGTAGTTATGGAGAACTGTTAAGATAATTGAATGATTTTGGTTCTTGTGGCAGTGACTGAAAGCTGCATTTTTTAAAAATTGTATGCCCAGATACAACAATCCTGAGAAGCTCCTGGAAACTAGACGAGGGCGTTGTGGTGAATGGGCCAATTGCTTTACACTTTGTTGTAGAGCGGTAGGATTTGAAGCAAGATACATTTGGGATGCAACAGGTATAGATGTTTTAGAATATCTTATGTTAAAATCAGAACTGCAAAATATATCCTAGGCACTCTAAAATTGTGCAGACAAAGTCAGTAGTACTGTTCCAAGGGCCATTTCAGTGGCTTGCAGTTTGTAGCTTTAGTGCAGTCCTATTCATCTCAGTCCCACTGAGTTCACAGTTGTAGCTCGCATCAGAATATATTGATGTGGCCTCTTACATTTCCACTTATGAAGGAATACATTTATTAGTACTACCACATACACCTACCATTTTTACTAAGGGGGTTTTTGACATCATGAAATAAATTATTTTGGAGACACAGGAAGACTCATACACTTGGAACTGGGGAAGGTGAGCAGTAAAGAAGCTTCTTCACCCAAAGGTTAGACCTAGAAAGGGAGCAGATATTTGGTTGATATCTGAGAAGCAATGTGGTAGTAAAGGGAGTTGGGCAGGTATTGGGGATATCCAAGTTGAAGCCTCATCCACAGAACTTATCGAGAATATTTTCTCAGCCCAGTCTGTCTGACAGAGTTAATGTTGAGATTGAAAATCAGGAGTAGGGAATTTTATGTATGTCTCTTTGAGCTTATACATACATACACATACACACACACACACAGAGGAGACCTATCAGATCACAATGAGAAGCCTATAATGAGGCCCAATGTAATGCTGCTTCAATATTCAGCTGCTGAGGGGGCTGTGCTCCACTATTAAAAGAACTAAGAGGGTATTCTTATAGTTGGAACCCCAGTTATGGAATCCTTGGGAAGATAGTGCAACGAAAAGAACACGCTTTTATTTCCAGTAACTGTTATTTGGTCAGTTTGTTTTTAGCTAGATTGCTTTTCATTGTTTCACTTTATTAATTGTATCCCATTCTGAGATT